AAAAGTAGGTGTTCTGACTCTAAGGTCTCTGCTTTTCATAGCTTCTTTCTCTGGCCTTTGCTCTAGCTCTAACAGTGCTTAAAGAAAGCTAGCCAAGAGGGAAAAGATATGGATTCTTTTTGATGTAATATAATAAATACTTGAATGATAGCTTTTATGATTAACATGTTCCACCAGCTTGAACCAATGGTGCTGCATGCATGACTATCCCATCAAGCAAGCTGTGCTACTGGCGGTAGAAGTGGAACAACCATGTATGGGAAAGTCATGCCTGTACCACTGATGGTTCAAGCCACCCAACAGCGAGACATATAAATTACAGCCCCATCATGACATGTTAAAGGTTGGAAAAGGTCCCGGCAGAACTGAAACCATGGCTTATCAAAATACATATCAATTCAAAGAGCAAGGTTTCTACACATCTACCACTTACCCACCCATCCACTTGTCTCATTTCAAATAGAATGAAAGGACATTTTAAAAATTATGTGTGCACATGATGGCTTCTAAGGAAAGGAACAGTGACTATTCCTCTATAAGTAAATGAAAGTTCATATGTGTATTCCTCTCATTTAAAAAAAAACCTTGGTTTGTTAATATCATTAGAATCATAAATCAGTAAACTTTTAGAAACTGTAATAAATATTATGCATAAACCCACATTTTTCTAGGGAAGAAAGGATCCTTAACTCTGACCATATTCTCCAAGACTATCGTGACCCGTTCCTTATGAATTTCAAAAGTGTATACTTACTAAGGCACAGCCAAACGTGGTAGGAAAACTTTTCCAACTCCCCAGATTCTTGGAAAATGCCTAATGCCATTCATTTCAGTATGTTCTGACAGGTGGAAAGGTAAAAAAATAACATACTTCTTTATGTAAGTTCCGCAATAAGAAATAACCAGCAGAAATTAATTTTTCGGGGCACTGATTAAAAATGTCCATTAAGTGTTATATTGTTTTGATCAACAAGATAAGATGACAGAAAGGGAAGGTGAATGGTTATCCTTAGATATGGTACAACAAAGAAAAAATTTCCCATAATTTTCACCTTTCCTGAAGCTAAAGAGATCAAGAAAGCACCAATCAATTCTCATAAGAAAGGCAAAACAAAGTAAAAACCTTAAACTGCTTTCTCTAAGAAGAGACATAAGAAAGTGAGAGTGGAAAGCTTAATTGAAAAACTGAGCTGAAGCCAACAAGCTGGTTAACTATTTGCAAGAAAAAACTAACTGCAAATCAAAATCTCATAAAGAGTTGAAAGTGTTTTACATATACAGCAGTACCTCAGTTCACAAATGAACGTTTTTGTTTGCAAACAATTTGGTTCCCAAATAGAAGTGTTTGGCAAAATTTGGCACTCTGTGTCAGGTAGCAAACATGACCGCAGTCATCTTTCCCACGCAAACACAAATGTGGTCATCTTTTCCATAATTGTAGAACGGGTTAAGTTCGTGGACTGAGGCACCATGCTGATGACATGGCTCTGTGGTGCTCCCGTTCTCCAGTTTTCGAACCCTTATAGAAGGTTCTCTGCCATATATGAAGTCTTTGAAAGCACAGGTAGGGAAAGAGAGTAATCATGAGCTAGGAATTCAGCCCAGTGGTGCTGCGCCTGCCTTGCAAATGCAAAGTCCTGAGTTTGATCCTCAGTACAGAGAAAAAACCCCAAAAAACAGGTTGATCAAAAGAGAGGATGACAAGCACAGGGGAGGAGAAGGCAGCAGCTAAACTGTAAGACAGTGATGGGAATGGGCTCAGCCATGCATATGCCATGGGCAGGGCTTCGGAAAGGTCATTTCCCCTCTTTATCTGATTACAAATATACAACATTTATTCACTTCCCAAAACAGATATAAAATACAAAAGTAGGATATGCCTATACAAATATAAAAACACAAACTCACCTAATACTGTATACGACAATTCCTGAAAAATTAAGACTTCTAGAAACAGATTTAATAATCTGCAAAGTCAAATACAGTACCACTCTCTGAGACCACAAATAGCACACAGATTTAGAAAAACTGCTGGGAGTTTTTATTTTAATCATTTATTTGATAACCTTTATTTTGCAATTTAGGAAATGGAGATAATTGGCAATTTGTTCAATCATAAGGCAAGTTTTTAAAAAATTACTAGTCACGGAGCTTTCCTCCATAGATAATCAGGATCTCAGAGATTGGGAAATTTGTAGATTATTTTTTAAAAACTCTAGTACGATCTGGCCATAGTGAACCCGAGCACTGATAGCTGAACCTGCAGAAACACTTCAGCGAGTTCTTTTACCTCCGGCCTGTACCTGGCCTCTCGCTGTGTTCCTCGGACCCCTAACACCTTTATCCACAGAGTCAGGAAGATCAAATGGGGTTTATAACTAAGGAATCTTCAGAGAGAGGCCACTAGGGGCTGGTTAGACAAGAGTGTCCTCTATCCTTCTGCAGATGGTTAGGCAGGAAAAGATGTGTTTTTATCATGCTAGGGTGGTCGGTCCTCAGATAAGTCAGTCACGAAAATACTGCAGTGGTTAGAAAATGCTAGCTTAGATTCAGGTCACTATAGACCGCTACTCTTGTATGGAACCCAATCTCTATGTCAATATTACTTCAAGGGGAAAAAATGACTGCAATCTCTGAGTGAGAAGGATATCCTCACAAAAGCAATATAATTACAATTTCTTCACAAAGTCAGCAGTCACGGAGTCCACAGGAGTGAAGGTGGCTCCCTGGTCACCCCTATAAAGGAGAGGAGCAGTGGAAGCCAGGTGGAGGCAGTGAGAAACTTTTTTTCAAGTTCTTTATATGTTCTAGATATAAGTCCTCTATCAGAGGAACACCTGACAAATGTTTTTCATATTTTATTGGTTGTTTCATCACTCTGTTGACTGTTTCATTTGCTTCGCAAATGTGCACTTTGTAAAATTTGGAATGATCCAATTTCTTGATGGCTGATGTTCTTTCTTGTGGAACTAGAATTCTGTTCAAGAAGTTCTTGCCCAGGCCTATTTCTTCAAGTGTTTCACCTGTTTTATGTTCCAGCAGATTCAGTGTTTTTGTCTTTATATCTGGGTCTCTGATCCATTTTTATTTGATTTTATTATAGAAATCTAGATTCATTCTTCTGCAGAGGGACAGGATGCACAAGGCTGTTAAACAGTTTGGTAGGAAATAAGATTTTGATCTGGAAAGTACTAGATTTCTAGTATATGAAGGGAGCCAACAGCAAGAATATAAAGAAGTTACCATTAAAAAGAAGTGGTATGGGAAACAAGTGCCAGCCTCGGATAACAGAGGGTTACATCCCACCCTATGCTCTTCTAACCAACCTGAGCTGCTCCGAGAATACAAGCACATTCCAAACAACTATGACCAAGAGCCATCTACAAGTGAGGCTAAGGGACAGTGGCTGCAGTGGTCCCCAGAAATCTTTGGGATCCTCGGGTTGCTAATGTCCTCTACCATTTATGCCAGGAGGTGGTAACCTGAGGCCCAGTCTTTGGTACTCTGCACTCTATGCTTTCCTTCCCTTTTGGCTTTAGAATCAATGTCATGTCGCCTTTGGAAGGCAATCTGTCCCTGGGCTGTTTCTTCCATGAGCCATCCTAGTCTCCATAGGCCAAAAAGTAGACTCAAAAGACCAGGAAAATAAATTCCTAGAAAGTACACCATCACTATTCACTTATGAATTATGATTTATGGAGCCCCTGCTATGTACAGGCTCTGTTTCAGGCAGAGGGTTACCACGCATTCTATTTCCACACACCTGTGTGAGCCTCCTATTTCATGAATTCCTTGAGATTTGTACCTCAATATCTCCTCCCCAACAGGTCCCTTCCTAACCAAGCCAATCAAACCTGCATCACCTTCTCCGAGTCCTCTTCCCTCTTTTCTTTCCCCTCAAAAACGCTACCTCACACGTTTTCCTTATTTTTTTGTCTTTACTCTTCTCCTTCCACTGGTATCTAAACTAAAGAAGGCAAGGGATTTTGCCTATTTTATTCACAGCTGCATCCTTGGTGACTAGGGCAGTAGCTGGCAAATGGTAGGCATCAGACAAATCCTACTAGTTCACTCACATGAAGAAACGTGTGTCTGCACACAGGCAGTCACTCGAGCATTCACTTGTCATCAGCATCACAAACTGTGTATTATTTTACTGCATTGCCAAGCAAAAGTTCCTTATCTTGGACATAAAATTTGGAAATACTCAATTGTAGGCATTTATTCTTAGTTTAGTTTCGCTTTAGCTCTTTGTTCCTAACCATTTCTCTCTTCATATGTTGACCACTCTCTCGTCCTACTGACTCCACTTACTTTGAGAAACATCCCACAGAATTCATAACCACTTACCACATCCAGCTAACTGTATGTGTATTTGCAACATCAAAGCAGCTCTACAACACAGAGAAGGATATCAAATGTCTGATCCTTATTCTTTCTAAATACAATCTTTATCTTAAAAATGGGTGCAAGGTAAACTAAATCAGACTAACAATTTATATTTCACACCTAATAAAACTTTCCCATGCTCCTTCTCCAATATTTCTTCTCAGTAAAGGTTTGAGTTGCAATAATTTTCAAGAGAAAGATATGAAAGTACAAAAAAAATAATTATGCCCTATGGTCTCCAACTCCCGAAAAACGACAACAAACATCAAGAAATGAGTGGAAAAGTCACTACAGCTGATCAACCTGGTTCTCCTACCTAATTTTGTGATCCAAGACCAGCATTAGCTTCTTAGCCATAAAAAGAAGCTAACATCCCTGCTCTGCTCACCACACAAAACTTTTCTGAAGGTCAAATAAATTATTTTTGGGACATGGTCTAAACTATAAAGCAATTGCCAAATGAAAGCCACAGTAATTTTGACTAAGGGGAAACCTTCACAATTATTCCTCAAAGCACAGGAAATTTTACAGTAGTTTTTGCTCACTTTCCTTATGCTTCAAGCCAGTGCACCACAGGAAGTAATTCTGTACAAAAGTATTTCGGGATATACCTTTGACTGAATTGTCCGTAGGTTAACCAGATGAATGTCACAAGGCAAGGACGACAGTAACAGGGGGAATTCATTCAGCAGATGAAGGTTAGGTGAGGAAAACTCTGTTTTTACTGTCATTGGAAAGACTGGATGATTCAGGAAAGAGGAAGTCATGTGGCTGAGGAGGGAAGGATAACCAACCGAGTTCATTTCTTCTTTCTATCAAGAAAAACAAAAAGATTTAAAAGCTGGATTTGCAGTTGCCATCACATTAATTGAAGTACTTCATAAAGTACACAAGTAAAAATATATTTGAACTTTGCCTTTATTATGTTCATATGTTTAAAATATCTGCTCCACCGATTTAATAATAAAAATACTGAAAACATTTTCCACATTTTTGGATAAGGTATAACTTTTGGTGAAAATTCCCAACCTACCACAAAACTCTCCCATTACAAGGATTGTGATGACCCTACTATGTACTACGCTACTGCTGTTATCTCTCACCTTTTGCAGGTACCACTGATTATAGTCTCATGGTTTCATTTATACACTCAGGAAGATCATAAAAGCATATATGGATTCAAAGCTATGCTCCATAAATGTTTCAAAACTATAGAAGGTATATGTTACCACCCAGTGATAGGGCTTAAAAGTACCTCTCAAAATAAATCCAATTTTAAAATATAGATAAACAGGTGTCCTATCTAGATCATCTAATTGTTTCTTTAACATTGGTAAATCATTGCCAACTGTTTCATTCTACTCTAAGAAAAAGAACTATTACATATGTATTTGCATATTACATATGTAATTGCATATTACAATTTAAAAATTCTTTAGTATTTGCTGCAATCTGTGCTTATAATGCAACATTTCTGTATATTCAAACATCAAATAAATCTATCAAGATACACATGTGTTACAGGAAAATTAAGTAAACCAATGCCTAGATAAACCTTAACCAAAAATGTCTAATTCAAATACAGACATAGATTTTAAAAAATGTAGAAATGTCCTTTGATCACCAGGTACACACGAAGCAAATTTAATTTTTTAATAAAATGACTACTTCAACTGATATTTTCTGATTCTGTACCCTGTTTGTAATACAGTACTCAAAAGGTTTGGCTACTTATCTCTGCAAAAAGACAGGAGTTATATAAAGATATAGAGCTTAAAGTTCAGAACGTCAGATTAGCAATAGACAGAAGGGTGCTAGCAAAAAGCAAGTGGCATCATGCCAGCAGCTAATAGTACAATTCAGGCCATGGGGAGAGAAAAAGACTAAAAGGTAGCAGAGGGATATCGCAGTATTAAGATAATGACAAAAAATTAGGGCTGAAAGAATTATATGAAAATGTATCCATTCCACATTCTGTTTTTAGAAAAAGATTAAATAAAGCATATAAAATAATATTCTCTAACAATAGAGCCATTTAATGCAGCTTGTAGAATAACATGAACAGAAAGAGAACATTTTCAACAGGACACTTAAATGTACTCCCGGTTCAAAGGACTTCATAATCTAGGTCAGGATTGCTGACAAAATCATTTTTTGAGTAATAAAAGATGAAAGATTCTAACAGAAAGGAAAATCCCAACGCCGGCCTTATCAGATTCAAAAGGCATTAAGTCCATTCTAGGTCAAGATACACTCAGAAAAAGCTCTCTAGCTTTGCTCTAAATTCTTGGAGGAGTTCCTGGAAACTTCAGTGAGTTGAAGAGATACTTCTTGAATGAGCTTTTATATCTTAGAAGCAATAATATGCAAGCCAGGTCAGCTTCACTTACTCTTGATACTTGCCCCTCAAATGACACACCAGAAAGACTGGGGGGTATGACCCCTTTATAAGATAAAGATTCCTGGGTCCTAACCCAAACCTACAAAATCAAAATGCCTAGAACTGAGGCTCTGGGAATGTAAAGTTGAAAAGCTTGTGCAGATGAAGCACATCAAGTCAGCCACACAGGGCTCTATGCATCTGCTGGGAAACTGCCTGCCCAGACAAACCCCCAACTTTCTAGGCAATAGCTCTTTTGGAATAAAAAATGTAACCTTAGCCCTTAGCTATTTTTGGATTCAATAAACAAGGTTCCGACTCAGAGATGTTTTGATGAAAAGCCTTGTAAAAGGAAACAATGTCATGAAGGCCAGTACTTTGAGAATTAAGAACTGTGTGGTTTACTGCCCTTAGCAAGATAAGAGAAGTTGATAGAGCAGTTTTGGTTCTGTGCCATCAGCACAATGAACAAACACCACTCACTGTTGGAGGCCAGGCACGCTAGTGAGGCAAAGTACCATCTTCGCTCCACAATTCACTTACTTTCCTCTATTTACAACAAGGGGCTCAACAGGATATATAACTGAACTATTAATATTTAATTAGTCTTCTAAAACAATACCTTCTAAGTCTTAGGATAAACTAAAAATACAGAAAATACTCTGTTATAATTTTATGTGATTTTTTAAACCTAGGAATGGATTTCCAACCATGTAATAACTGATACTGCTACTATAAACACTATGTTGTTTCTTGTTTGGCCTCAGACAATGTTAGTCTAGCTTTCTCTCTGAGCTTGCTTGACATTAAAGAGTTGCAGCACATCCTGATCCAAACCACACAAAGCTGAGATGTTCTTCACTGAACTGCAGCCCTTACACCAGGAGTCAGAACATCCCAGGCTCTGTAGTGCCCTTTATTAGATTCATTTGAGGTCTCTGATCTTTCAACATCAAGAGCTTCCACCTCCTCTATTCAAAATTTGCTAAATTACGTAAGACGGTAAGAGATCATTTTTAGTCATCTTTGTTTACCCCATTTGACCTGACATATGGTGAGATCTTAAGAAATGTTTGTTAAAATAAATCTACAAAGTTAAGTAAATGCAATATAAATAAATGAATACTGTGGAGGGAAAGAAGTAAAAGGGTAAGGAGGGAGGAAGAGGATAAAGGAACATATATGGAACCACAACATGTAGGAAAAAATATCACTTAGGTCAAAAATGAACAGGAGTCTGTGACCACGCCTTGTCTACAGGTGTGTTTTGGTAGGTATGGATGGTTCTAAAAAGGTTTTCTTTTTTAAAAATCTACTTCTTAAAAAAATTTGGATTAAAAAAACTTCCAAAAGAGATTTTTGGTATTTGAAAAACTGGCATTTTGAGTTGCACTGGGCCAGCATTCCCACATAGAAAACATGAGCTAGAGCTGAGATGCGGCTCTTCGTAGGATGCGTTTCTTCAACATCACTACAGACTCTTTGCCACCTACTATAAACCTGGCTGATGTCTCCATGCCTAAGCCTTATGTGCATTTGTGTTTTTTATCTGATTTCTCTCAATTTTGTCTCCTTATATGTAAGGAACTGATATTCAGATGTAAAATGACACATTGTAACAAATGAATACTTCTAGAGCTTCTAAATCCTCACTGTCTCCTTTATTACACCAATAACCATCAGCCAAAAAGGGGAAGGGAGTAGGAGTCGCAGAATCAAATCTGGAAGGGATCATTGCCAGAGATGATTCTGAGGTCCTATTTCTGTTGACCCTTGTTGATCATTAGTATGGATAACTATTAACCTTATGCAGCCACAGTTCTCCAAGGGGCACCTGTACATCCCAGTGAGCATCGTTTGAAGTCTTTGTTCCCACTGCCTTTCTGCAGAACACTCTGAGGAGAACACCCACTCCCTTTAGCCATCCTGGGGTTATTTCCCAGAGGCTGTGGCCGGCTCAAGGCTTCCTAATAAAACCTTTACCTTTATTGGGAGGCTCTCCATTTCACTTTCCATCATCAATATGTTAGACATTAGAATCTGAGATGAAATTAAAAACATTTCCTAGACAATTTAGGTTACAGGAAACACAATATTTCCTAATCAACTGTTTTTAACCAATTTCATCAGAAACTAAAATGTATTTTCTCTTCTCTAGCCCATTTTATTTAAAAGAAGCGACTGATTTAAGCTCCAGAATCTTTAAGTAAAAGATCAATTTAAACAACATTAGATTATAAAAAAAATTGGATCAAATTTAAATCAATTACTATCCAAGGAATTTTGAATGGAAATCAACACATTATTTAAGTCTAAGTGAAAGCTTTATAGATCTGACATGAAAATTTTTATTGCCACTGTTAACAGAAGTTTTATAGATGAGTGTCAATATAAAGAGGAAAACATACAAGCCAGAAACACTCTGAGTAGAAGCAAAAAGATAGTAGCTGCCAACATTCAGACAATCATTTTCCTGTGCAGTTTTAGCTCTTAAAACTAAGCTGCTTTGTCAGTAATTCTTTGAACTATAAGTCTCAAGAAACGCTATATACCTTGATATCTGAAATGGATATTAATTATTTTCTTTAAAAGATTCTAAATGCTACAAGACTTGATTTATTTTTTTTTTAATTAGTTTTTTGAGACAAGGTCTCACTATGTAGTTGAGACTGACCTGGAACTCACTATGTAGCCCAGACTGGTCTCGAACTCACAGCCATCCCTACCTCAG